AATCATTTTTACCATATTTTGGATAATTACCGTACTAAAAGTTGGTTTCTATTGATTATTAAGTAGTTTTCTACACTCGTGTGGTAATATTTTTATCATTTTTGCACCCGTGTGGTCACGAGTGGTTCCAAGTGGTCCCATGTAGTCGCGAGTGGTTCTGTGTGGTATTTAGTAGGACCGAGCTAGCCTGTAGGGTACACCGGGTCTCAGACTACTACGAGGCCTAGGCCGTCTAAAGTAGCTAGGTATCTAGCCTAGGGTAGGCTAGCTAATCGGATAACACTACTGTAACATTAACAAGAAAGAGGGCCAACGACAGCGTAGCAGATAACAAATTTACACGGGCCTAGAGAGAAACTTAGCATGACGCCAGAGAGGGCCTACCTAGTAGCCCTAGGCACTTGATTGATTGAATTTCTCACTGTACACCACCCTAAAAAAGTGGTGCAAGAGGCTGGTGTATACCAGTGTTGACCTCTATTATCCCCTTTTGTATTCTTACACTGTAATTTGAAATTTAACAATTTTTCTGAACCATTTGATGGAATAAATAGTTTTTGCATGAGGAAAAATGATGATTATAATTACTGTACTATTTTATTAAGTATAATTCTAAATGTTAAATTATGGTTTGTTTTACAGCTTTGTTCTACTTTATTTCATTGACAGAGCCCAGTCATCAAGTGACCTCATCAGCATGGGATATGATAATGTAAGTTAAATATCAAAAGCTTATTTTGCCTGTTTGACTATGTGCTGTGAATATGTTAATTCTAATAAACGAAACATTTTAACTCAATCTCGCAGATTTTAAAAAGTAATTTTCTGTTTAAAAGTTGCTCTTTGTTTCCCAGTTACTGTAGATAGTTAGTTTTTTTTAAAATAACATATGTGTCCAAATGTTGTACAGTATGCATGACCTACTGAAAGCAGACACAATACACTACCAGATTATTGTGGTTTAGTTACTCTAATGGGATGTTCTTCAAAAATTACTGTATAGTGCTAATAATTTACAAGGACATTAGTATAATGTGGCTATCAAGAAATAATTATTGTCTATTTAGTATTTACAGAAACCATACCCTGGCAGACCTGGTCCCTAAAAGGAGAGTTGTAAATGCAGTTGGTTAATGAAAGAACACCCAGAAACTTCTACTGATATCAACCATGTTTATATTTGGAACAGAATATTGAACTGTAAACCAAAAAGATGCCTGTGTTAAGTGTTATAATCCTACTGTCACTAATCATACTTAGGATTGTGTTTATAAGCTTGCTGCAAATCTACACAGACTGATGCCAGTTCTGAAATTACAACCCATGATATGAATGAAAATATTACATCAGCTTATCAAAAAGAAGTACTGTACATTATTTAGGGAATTTAAAACAAGCAAAGTGTCTTGTCCAAGAACCCAGGCAATTTACACAGCATGTGTCCTTGTACAAGACACTAGATCTTGGCTTGTATCTCTCTCTATCCAGGTGTATAAAGCAATATAAATGATGTTCCTATAGTAAAACAATGTTAATAAAGTGTCTTTTCAATGCTGTCGATATGCATTTGGTTGACTGTAATTTGTAATAATTGTTGTACTGGTGATATTCTGTTAAACATCATTTACAGTAAATGGTAAATACTGATAGTAGTTAATATTGGTTAAACTTTTAGACTCAAATGTTTCCCTGCTAAGTGATGTTACAGCAGATCACACTCAACTAATTCACTTAATTTAATACAGTATTAATTTTAAAAGCATGTTAATATCATACACAAATGATAACCAAATTGGAACACTGTCTAACATTACACAACAATGTCATCATCACTATTGATGAATAACACCATCTGTCCTTATATAAATCAATGCAAACAATTAAAGGGGAACCAAGACTTGCATATAGATCAGTTAGCCTTTTTATTCACGTGATATGCATCAATATTTTAACAATGCTGAAATAATAATAATAATAATAATGTTTACAATACATTTACACTAATTCTGTTAAAATATCTACCATGTACAGTAGGAAAGGCCTACTTAAACTTCATCAAAAACAATCAATTTGTCCATCTTTATTGAATAGCGAAGAGCTGTGATGAGTATCAGTGTGCGTACTGATGTACACATGCAGTTCATATATTAAAGAATAGTCTTGCAAAATGGCTGCAGCGTTTAACTTAAGAGTGGATTTCAGAGGCAATACAATCAAATTTTATCCAGTAATTGTGTTCTTAACAGTTATTTTAACATTGTGATAGTTGCTAATAGCCTGTGAGCAGTGTGCACTGCCTTTTAGATTGTACTTCCATCAAACTTATACTCAATCATGCAAATCCCTCCAGAACTCGGGTAATTTTGGTCTTCCACTGTGCTTCGATAGTTTGCATTTGGTTGTTCATCACAAGCTGGTGTATTAATGAAATAGTTGACATAACTGGAAAAAAAAATGTTTATCATTAACATTGGCCTAGTGCAATTATTATACAGATGCACAAAATACTGTGATAATAAATACAAAATCAAGAAGATGCATGTTGACATATAGGGAGGTCCACTTTTTCAAGTCAAATTTTTGCCTTTGAAATTCAGTCTCGGCCATTCTTGAATATCATCTTTCCACATAGGTCTAATTCAAAATGACGTTTAAAACATTTCACCAAAATTGTTGGGTCTAAGATATAGCATGGCCTTGGTTTAGAGCGTTGTAGTTGGCCTACGACTCGGCTAGTAGTAATACTAGGCCTTGGGGGTAATAATAGCATTTATTAAATAATATTTATATCATTTATTTTTATGGTCTGTTTAAAATAGCAGATGACAAATTAGCAGATAGCCTACATAGGAAACAGGCGTCGTTGTCATGTTATCCAGTAGCCTACTGACACACTGACTGAGCAATCTTCTAAGCTAACAATAATCCATTATATAAACAACACTATGATAACAATAACCACAAGTGTTTGAAACCAGACATTCCCAACATTACGTACTATACGCAGAAACTCCGAAATCGGAGGTTTGATTACAAATTTGAAAACTCAGATCTTGGAGGTTTGGCGTGCAGTACGCAAAACCTCCGAAATCGGAGGGTTGATTAAAAGTTTTGCTCTCTCTATATAGAAAGAGCTTGTTTGATTATTAGTACGCAGAAACTCCGAAATCGGAGGTTTGAATAACAGTTTGAAAACTCCGACTTAAGAGGTTTCGCGTACCTATACGGTACGCAAAACCTCCAAAATCGGAGGTTTGAATAAAGTTCGAAAACTCCGATTTCGGAGGTTTTGCGTATAGTACGCAAAACCTTCGAAATCGGAGGTTTATTTGAAAGTTGAAAACTCCGATTTTGGAGCTTTGGCGTATAGTACGCAGAACCTCCGAAATCGGAGGTTTGAATAAAAGTTGAAAAACTCCGATTTTGGAGGTTTTGCGTACTATACACAGAACCTCCGAAATCGGAGGTTTGATTAAAAGTTTGAAAACAACGATTTCGGAGGTTTGGCGTATAGTACGCAAAACCTCCGAAATCGGAGGTTTGAATAAAAGTTTTGCTCTCTCTATATAGAGAGAGCTTTTTTAAAAAATAGTACGCAGAAACTCCGAAATCGGAGGTTTGAAAACTGCGATTTCGGAGGTTTGACGTATAGTACGCAGAACCTCAGAAATCGGAGTTTTGGCGGCGGGCGCAGACACTCCAAAAATGGAGTAACTACATACATGGTAAAAAATCTATGTAAAATCTGTTCAAAAATAGAACACGTTTGAAAACAGCGAAGAGCACAGGATCCGAGTTGAGCAGATAACTTAAACATGGGATAACATATCTAAAAAAACATACTGAAATTCTCATTGTATTGGAAAAAAAGTGCAATGGGTGATGTTGGCAATATTTTGGATTTGGTATCTTGAACATAATTACATTCCAGAAATAACAGGTACCATTTATTTTCGACCTTTAAAATCCCATAAACCCTTTTGTTCTGTCGAGTTCAAAATTCCACGAAATGTAAACAATATGATAAACCCTATAGCTTTAATGGATCTACTTGGGGCCAGGTTTGAGTGTTGGCCTATTAAGTATGTGCAGACAACAGAGCGACTTACTAGTTTGCGTTGGGAATAGAAACATGGATTCCTCACCAAGTCAAAGACGAGCTTTTAACAAGTTACTTATCAGATCATCCAAACAGACACAAGTCACAAATAATCAAGAACAAATTCAACTTGAGAATACATTAAAAGCAATGGAAAAGGATTTGAAAAATAAACTAAAGTTATTGGAGCGCGCACAAAGAAAGATTTCCACGGGCAAGCACGTTTCAGTTGATGGAAGTCGGTATAATATGTTTCGATCTGTGAGTACAGATGGTGTAGACTCTGGGAGTGTATCTCCCGGCAAAAATATAATACGTCAAGAAGTCCGACTGAAAAGGAGTGAATCAGCTGATCTGTTGTACACGGGACAACATAGCTCGTTTGGAGGAAGGCATTGTTATCAACATAGACATCAAACGATGCATACACAAACAATTGGACAACCAAAACCACGGTCTTTCTTACCAGGAATAAGCTCTTGTCCTAATAGTCCTCTTATTGGACGGAGCTCTAAACATGGAGGATTATCCGGGACTGATATCACACCGTTCCTAATGAGACACCACGGGAAAAGCACTGATAACTTTCTGGGAATGAACTGATACGTGCAAAGCTTTATTCAAGCATCCGATCGCCCTATGACAAGCACATGGAATCGGTAAAAGTAGGAAATTATTTTGAACAAACTGGTTTCCTTTTTTGTGGTTTCATCTTTCTTTACTTTCATAGAGCCAAAGTAATGTAGCATGAAAACAATGTTGTTAGCGTTTTGGGCTTCTAAACAACACATCGACATACTGACGAGGTACGCCGTGATAACCACGACTGGCTAACAAACTGTAAAGGTTATCGGCGACCCGAACTATTTGATCACGTAACGTTTAGTTAGTTTAACCTAACATGTATTGTGAAAGTAAATCCGGGTAGAGGAATGATGGGATGCGTCACAAGCTAAAAGATACGAAATATGATGTCATGCCTAGATCCTGCCCTAGAACGAACTATACTTAAACAAACAAATGTAGGCCAACCAAGCATTGCAATTCGTGGACCAAAAATATGGAACAAGCTGCCAAATAATTTTAAACAAGAAAAGAAAATAGGGGCTTTCAAAAGTATACTTCATCGTTATTTTCTCGGGAAGTACGATTCAAAATGATATTGACTCTTGTATATAGTATATAATTAATTTGTATTAAAGACAAATACGATAACTCAATTTAAATGTAAATATGTGCATTGGTGTATTTATGTTTCTATTAATGCCTTTCGTTAGTCTACTCATCGCCTTTTAAATATTTTAACATATCTACGTCTACATCTGAATTAATATTATATAGTCAAATCAAAAACAATATTATGATAGTTGTTAATCAAATTTACATTGTCTCACATGATTCACTTATATCTGAATAATTACCATGTCACTTGTTATTATTATGGTATTATTAATGGTATTACTATTATTATGGTATTATTATTATGATATTATTATTATGGTATTATTATTATTATTATTATTATTATTATTATTATTATTATTGTATTATTATTATAATTATTATTATTATTATTATTATTATTATTATCTCTGCCAACGAAGTTAGCAGGTTATGTTTTTGCCTGGTATTTTATTTAGTTATTTATTTGTCTGTCGGCATATTTTGTTGCCTACAGCCCATAGTTTTTATCAGAAATTCGCCACAATGTTCATTTACCTAAGATCTAGAACTGATTAAATTTTGAAGGGTCAGGGTCAAAGGGCAAGGTATGGTTTATACTTTGCAATAATCTAATTTTTCAATATAATATCTTCATTTGTCAGGCGCCAAGTTTCAAAGCTTGCTTCTTGTGGCGACCTTTTTCCAAATATAATTTTAATTTCATTGTATTGCTTATATTTATGTATATTTTGGAAATAAAAGCTTGGAAATGGTAAAAAAGGGTAAAACACTAAAAAGTAAACAATCTGTTACTTGTAGTTATTGAAGTGAATTGTCAACACAGAATGAAGACCACAGCAGTGAAGGCTTGCAAGGTAAGCTCGTTAAATTATATCCAGTGTTCGAAGTTTAAAATATTATATTATTTTTACATCCTGGATAGATGGAT